CTTGCTTCGGGCAGCCCGGGCAGGAAGGCGGCTCTGCGCAAGGGAGGAGGGCGCGGCGTTCAGCGGCTGGGGTGCCCGGGGCAGCGGCCCGACGGCGCTGCTACTGCAACGGGCCTGCCCCGGGGAGGGGGGTGAACGTTCACCCTGCTGCCGTGGTCTTGGCTGTGCGTTTTGCAGGTACAAGACCTGAAGTTTGTAATAAGAGTAAACCTTCTATGATGTTGAGCTTTATGTGGTCTGCAGAGACAAAGGGTGCGGTTCTTAATGGATGTATGTTGAAACTGTTGTAGCCTTCTTGGTTTTGTTTTACAGGGGCAAGGGGGGAGGTTGGTCATAGACACACGTTGAGTTCTTTAGGGTTGGCCCCTATCGCCTGGTCCCTGAAGATGAGGGAGAAGTTTGAGGAGTACCTGGCCAGGCTGCAATAGCGTTAATGCTGATAATCAGGTTCCCAGGAGCAGAGCGGAGCGCTCTGATAAGTGTGTACTCCCATTGCTGTTATATCAAACCCTGTAGTCCGGGCTGCAGGGATGAGGGGTGGTGGTTTTGAGGTATTCAGAATGACAACGTTAACCCTGATAACCTTGTCTCCAGGGGAGAGGGGTGCAGTTTTACTGAGCGTGTGTATATATCGTACCTTCCCTGTTGTCTGGAAGGAAGGGCAGAGTGGATAATGCATGTATATTACAAGGTTGTGATGTTAAAAATGGAAGTGTATTCGAACAGTTCTTAGTGTTTTGCAGAGGTGAGAAGTGGAATGCATTGGTCATAAACAGCAGGATTTTGGTAGTTGGGGGGGGCTGAAGGTGCCTGTATGGGAGGGAGCTGTGAACTGGCCTGTTCCAGTCAGCTGATTCCAGCTCACTTGGTAGCAGGTGGAGATGGCCTGCAGCTGTGTGCCAAAATTTAGCCAGTCAGGAGCACATGGTGCCTCTGCTCAGAACACATTTAAGAAAGCTGCACTTCCTGGGGGTAGGAGATGTAGGAGGAGGGGGGTGAGGTATGTGAAGAGATGCATTTTTTTTGGAGAAGCAAAGTGGAGGAGGCAAGTAGAGGGGCCATTGGGGCACAGCTGGAAGAGTGCCCTTGGAGGGAGGTGGCCTGTGTTAGAGCAGGGTATGCCTCTGGTGGTGTAGCCTGTGGGGGACCCATGACAGAGCAGAGGCAATAAGGTGGGAGCAGCAGATGGGGAAAAAGTAGTAAGTGGGACAGTGGCAGACAAACTGCTAGGCACTGTGCTTCCTGTGCTGCCTCACTGAAGGGATGGGGAGGGAGTGCAACCTGCAGTGAAAAGAAGGGGAATTGAGACTTGGAAGAGGGGAGGAAAGGTGTTGGACTGAAGTTGAGCCTGGGAAAGAGGAATAAAAGGTGTTACCCTAAGGGTTTATATCTTCTGTTTTTGTTTCTCAATATGTGAATTGGTAGCTAAAAGTTTTGTTAACTGGCCATAAATTAAAGTGAAACTTGCTAAGTCAAGACTCTCTTGCCTGTGACAAGCAGATGGATGGGCAGCTCACTTGTTAGGTCCTGTACATCCAGGGCCTTCATTTGGGCTGTCTGCACAGTGCCTGGATCCCCCCTGCCTTCTAATGTTCAAACTCTTCTCTGAAGTTGCAGTGTCTTTATATGTAAATGCAATGCCTTTGTTTATAATCCAGAATGGAAATAGTGATACACTATCTCAGCTTTGTACTTTCTAGGTCAGATTTTTTTGTTTACTTGGTGAAAACCAGAGTAACCCCATGGACTGCACTGAGGTTATACTAATACTGCAATAGTAGTTGAAAATATGATGCTGTAAATGGCAAACTAATAGTAATCCCTTTGGGAAACTGTATTAGGTATATTATACTGACATCATAAACAGTGGTGAGGGAATATTATTCAGTGAAAGCCTAAGAAAATTTTTCATAAAGTAATAAGTTAAAGACTTACCCTTAGTTTTCTGGAGAAATAACATAGTTTACATCATTCTTATATTCATGGGAAAGTTCCTGATGCAATTTGTTTCTTAAGATATTACTGAAACAAAAGATTTTTTTTATATATTAACTGATGCTTCTGTCTCTTATTGCAGACAAACTCATTAGGAAATCCTGGTGTATTACGAGGATGGTAACGTGGCTTTATATGCTTTTTACCTAGAACAAAAAGAGGTATCATGTTTAGATGCAAACAAACTTGGAACAGTTGTTTTTCTCCAGATCAAAATTTATGCAATAAAAATCTATACAGTATTTTTTCTGCAGTGGTCTCTTCAATGATGTGTACTGTCTGTAGGCACAGACAGAATATCATAAAAGAGCTGCTTTGCCCATGGTCCCAGTCTCAAAGATTTTCTATGGCTGTACTGTGTCAGACAGATGTTTCTTGGGTGTCCTTAATGCCTCTAGCTGCAGAGATGCCACAGTGTTCCCTGGCAGTTCCTCCAAGAGCTCCCTTGCTGCATTAAGCTGGGCATCAGGCAGACTCCACTGACCATGGAAGTTATGGGCTGTCACGTTTGCATATCCTTTTAGCTAATTAGTGCTTGAACTCTTGCCTTCCCCCTTTTAAACAATACTGCCTTCTGAGAGACAGTTTAGGAGAACCTCGGGAATAACTATACTGCGTTGTAGACTTAGTCACAACAGTATGTTGGGGTTTACTCTGCGTTATCTATCAGATAGGAAACTGAGGGACAAAACTCCTAAAAACCAAATCTGCAGTAGCATTAAGGTAGTTAATCCTATTTAGGTACTAATTTTCCCTTGATTTTAATGGAAGTTCCATTGCTTAGACAGGATTTCGTTTGCTTAAGCAGTTATAAGGATGGTCTAGTAAAGACTTTTGTGGTAGAACAAGGGTTTGAATCTGTTTAGCTTCACTAGACAAGCAACAAAGGAGCTCATGCAGTTATTCCAGCATGATTTAGTTCTGAATTGTATCACTTCCTGCTGTCACTTTGTAATATGGTTGCCCCAAAGCTTTCTGTTGTTCCAGCGCAGAAAATGCACCTTTTCCTCATTTCGCAACAGGAGATAACGTACTGGGAGTAACAAACCTGTTGTCCTCATAACTAGAGGTATTTTTCCTATTTCAGCGTTCTTTATATTCTAGTTGATCTTTTAGCTAGAGGAAAAGGTCTCTTTTTGTAAAACAGACTAGCTTAATATAGAAAAAGCAAAAATAAAAGTATTTCATGCCCTTCCTGGCATTTTTCTGTTAATGCATGTACATGATAACTTAAATGTCACTCTGAAAACATACAATACTTCTAACAATACTGTTACTTTTTACAAAGTATTTGGATGATCATTTGTTGTAAAGAGTGCCTTAAAACTTTTGGGACTTTACTCTCTTAAAATTAAGAGACTTATGTAATTAATTCCAAAGAGACCCACACTTCAAAGCAGGTAAGATGAAAGTCTTTAAAAACAAAAGAGAGAGAACCCAACCCTGAACTTGAAGTTTCAGAATTTGAAATGTTTATTTCTTGGTAAACTTCAGTTACTTGGAAACAATTTTTGTTCTGAGTCAAAATCTTAAGCATGCATTTCTTCTTGGCTGAAACCTCAAGTTTTTTTTTTTCTGTTAAGCTCTACACTTATGCAGTAACATACATTTACAGAAGATTTCATTTTGTCAAGAAATGAGTACTGTCAAAAACAGTTGACAGTCTGTGTTCTGCCCTGTTAATAACTTCCCTGAATCACCACCACTGTTTTTCAAATAGAACATATGTGAATTGTTTCTATTTTATCTGTATAGAAAGTTTAGCATGCGTGGGTAATCAATTGGTGCAAAAAAAAAATTATGCAAGATGTAACTGATTTTCTTGCTAATAGATTATTTGCAAATTCTGAGGAAACAATTCGTATGAAAAATTTGGGAGATGAGCTATGTGTTTACACAAAGGAATTTACACCCAGCTTAATGATAGAAACTGAACTCAGCCTTAACCGAAACCATCTCGATTCAGATACCCGAGCACTTTATTGTATAGCAGTGCTGATATAACTGTTGACAAGACTATATCATGCATTCTGCTCTGTGTCAGTTCTTGAGGACTTATTTTCTTTTACCCTTAAAATAGAGCTAACCTAACCTCTAGCAAGCTGCGCTTTATTCCTTGTTGTTAGTCCTTGACATGTAGCATATTACACCTGGGAACTTTTGTGTCAAAGCTTCCTATGTGCAGAAGCACATGACTGACAGCATGGAGAAGATTCCTGTGGGATTATGAAGGGATGGACAAACAGCGTGGTCTAGTGTATGAGAGTTATTTCAGCTTTTTAACAGGTGTTATAAAATTATGATTGAGTAATAAAATTTCATATAGTACTGACTATAAATGTATCCTTTTGTTAATTATTGTATTACTCTGCAGCTCACCGTTTGAATTAAAAAATGGCTATAATAAAGGTTAGGGAACATCATATATTTCTAGGAAACCTCTAAAGGCAAGTCTTTTTGGAGAGCCATTAGTATTGATTGTACACATCAACAATCTGAAGCTAATTTAAAGGAATTAACTGACAGGAAACCATTCATTAGATGGACAACTGAAAACCAGAGCTTCTTACAGGAAGGACATTCAGTGGAAAAATTAAGACTACTGCTTAAACATAATATTCTGTATGATAAATATGCTGTGCTACAGTTTGTAGTCAACATACAAATCATGGCTACATACAACCTCTGAACCTAATTGCCTGATGCACTTTTATATTGAACTGAGACAAAAATTGGATCTCAGATGCATTTCTTATTAATGATAATGCAGTCACTGGGCACTGAGAATCCATGCAACCCTCCACCTATGTTCATCTTTCTTGAAAAGTGGAGGGCCCTTAGGTCCATGGATTGATTGATGCTTTGTTTTATATATATACTAAAATTTACCCACAAACGTACAAGAAATACAGATTATAAAGCTGCATTCCTCATGAATGCAGTTTCCTGAATAGTTTACTTGAATTCAAATTATGTGATAGTAAATATGGTTTAGTAAACCTTACTGGTATTCGTCACTGCTGAGTGAAACCTACAATTACCAGTATTGTGCCTGGGAATCACAAATGCCTGCATTTAATTATCTCTTTGCTGAACCCAGCATCTTGTATTTGATAAATACAGCCTCCAGGGGGTGTTAGTCTTAACAAGTTGATACCTTTTAAAAATACAGTCCCAAAATGTTCCACAGTGTCAGTGAACTATTAAGCCCTTGATTCTGTTCCCTTTTGCTTTGCTTTCCAGAGGGTGGTCTATTCTGACTCTTAGTCATTATGACAGCATCAAAACCTGGACCACAAGGGACTGACATTCACAAATATTCTTAAGATAACCACCTTTGAATGTGGTGGTCATGGTCATTCAAGTATAGCATGTTCCTGTGTAGCAGGACTGTGTTGTACTACTGCAGTGGTGGCCTGAAAGACAATGTTCAAGTTCTTGGCCTAATCTAAAATCTGAGGGGTATTTTCTTCTGAAAACTCACCCACTCAGAAGAAAGAGAACTGAGCTTGAATATTTGGCAGTATGTAGCAATTTTATGAATTTCCATGAGGAAGGTTTCTGATACTCAGGATGGGATAACTCATCCCTGAAAAAGAGGCAAAGGGGAATGCAAAACTATTCTAAGTATTTTAGTCAATGTGAAACAAAGACAAGTCAGCCTCAAAGTATTTTTTGAGATGGAGTTTCCTTGCTCCAGTCAGAGGGAATACTGGGCTTTTCAGATGCATTTGAAATGCCTTGGATCCTGTCAGCTGAGTGCAGTGGGGAGTGGGGGTACTGGGGGTACTGTGGAGGGGGGGGAACAAAACAGCCCCTCCATATGCAGCATCCTGCAGGCTGGAGCCCATCTGCATGTCTGCTTGCACAACCTGGGTGCCGGCACAGCCTGGGGAGGAAAGTCTGGCTTATTTAGAGCAATGGGTGATGAAGTAGGGACAGGGAAGGAGCTGGAGGCACTGCAGGGGAAGAGATTGGGAGGAATACCAATGAGAGCATGCGTAGACTGCGCTTGAAGGAGGTGTGGGGCAAAATTATTTCTGTAGCATAGTACATCTTGCTTGGGATAGTCCCTGAATAGCTTTGCTTAAAGCAACATTTTAACAGATATAAAGCCATTTTTGTGAACGTAAGTTGAAATAGGTAGGCTTCAAGTTCTTTGAATATTTCATGTAATACATACATGCAACCCAAGTTACGAGATTTATGCTGCGCATATCCTAGTCTCTGCAGCTGTAATAAACATAGGAAAAAGTGCAGGATCTGCAAGGCCTGCTTGCTATTATATGGACATGTGGTTGGTCAGTCATGCATTGAACTGGCAAGAACTGCGTATCATTTGACAGCGTCTTGAAAAAGCAGGGAAAAATAAAGCTGGTGTTAGGTTTCGTTGCTTATGCGTGAGACTGTTCCTCTGAGTTTCTGTATTTACAGTCTGTGTAAGCAGCGCAGTCTGAATAACCAGTATCTATAGGCAAAAACTAATAAAGCTCCCTATTTTCATAGTGACAAACGTGATCTGACTGTTTTTCCCAAGTGCTAGAGTAATATTTCTGCCTTTAAGTTCATCTTTTATCTTCCATTGGTTTTAAAAGATTGTGTTTTATTCTTTGTATTAATGTGGTAACAATGCAAAATACTGATAATCGCTTTCCTTTTACATGCATGCCAAAAATATCTGATAAATGTTAAGTGTATGCATGCTGAATTATCTTTTTAAGTAACAAGGACAGATAAGGTCACATTTCTTAGGGCATCTGCATTATATAGTATGACTGGTGCTCCAGAAAGATAAATACTCTGTATTAGCAGTTAGAAATAAAACTGAAGACTATGGATTTGGATTAATGAAAAAAGTAATGAATGATAAAAGTTGTCTTTGTTATAAACCTCAGTGACTACAATTCCCGTTATTTGCAGCATTTAATTTTACGTTTCAGTAAAGTGATAGTTTTCAGTGCTGGTCATTGTTAGAAAACTGAATAATGGCAATATTATTACATTCTATATCTGCTGGGTGTCACTTTATAAATACTAAAAAATGATAGATATCATTTTTCCATTCGAAAATACTTGTCATCAAGAATGACAGCTATCCATTAAAGTGCATGTGAAAAAAATTAATCCATTTCCTTTTTTCTTTCATATTGCCCCAGACCTCTTATTACAGCGAAGTCTTGGCTAATGTCTTCATTCTTTCAATTTTCAGCAGTTTGATTTCGATATTTTCAACTTATTTTTTTTCCCCTTAGGGGTAAGTTGGAAGTCTCTCAAACGACTTTTCTATTGATTTGTGTTCTAGACTTCTACCATTTACATTTTCCTGACTTTGAGAATGTAAAAGCATAATGAGTAGTTTATTTTCTGTCAAAAATAAGGATTATGTTAAAAATTAACACTAATATAAAAATTGTGCACTAACGCGCTGCTAAGGAAAATTTTTCTGCCAGCAGTTGGAGAGAGCAAGGTCACTCACTGTACAAAATTCTCTACTACTCTAGTCTATATACATTTTTTTAAACATTATTGTTATGGAATATAAGCACCTTCTTACTGCTGCATAACATAACAAAGCTTACACATCCATTATGTGCTGTCTGTTCTTTCAGTCTGTCCTAATGGGAGAAGCATTTGTGGTGAAGTAGCTGGTTTCTACTGGAAAGTGTTTCTCTTTGGTTTTACTCTGATACACACACCAGTTGCTTTGTCATCACAAGTAGCGAAGATTAATCCAGAGAAGCATTAAATGCAAAAGAGAAGCTACTCCTATAAAAGAATCCGGGTAGAAGAAAGTAACTGAAAAACACATTTCTCTTCCAGGAGCAACTTGCTTTTAGCTGTGAAGCAAAGCTATATAGGGCTTTAGCAACAGAGGCATCATGGCTTCCCATCCTTCAACTCCTCTAACATCAGAAAAATAAATTGCTGTGTATAGCACAATGAAGCATTGCATGTCCACCTACCTGAGAGGCGCAGGCTTAGTTGTAGTCCATAAATATTCTTTGTTGCGGTTCTCTTTAACCACTTGTAAGCAAGAGGAGGGATGTCCACACTGAATGCTGTGTCTAGAACATGAAAGAATGTCTCTGCATCACTTGACTAGCTCTTTCTCTTCTTGTAGAAAACCAAGCTTCTTCTATGTCAAGGCTCTTCAGCCAGAGATTTCTTGTCTTCCCGTACCAGGTGTTTTGGGGGCTTGACAGCATAGCCTGTTTCACTTGAGACTCTGGGGGAGGGAAGGGGAGCTTGTGAGGACTTTTTAAAACAGTTCCTGTCACAGGGTGCTGTAAATGCAAGCATGTTCATCTTTACCTGGAGAACAGTCAGTCACTTCTCTTTTCCCTCATATTTCAGTAGACTTACCCCTTTGCAATCTATTGCCAAGTAAAATGAATGAGAATGATCAGAAGATCATTAGTGATAAAGAAAAAAACAAATTGGTTTGAGCAGGTATGACAAATGCCATAGCCACAGCAGCATGACCTTATAGCCATCTCTACTGGAGTAAACTGGAACTCCTTCACATACAGTTGGCTGCCCTTCCTCAGACCCTGAACTGCCTTTGCTCATGAACCCAAGGCATCTCTAGTAGAGAGGCTTCATCGGTTACAGAACTGGTGTGGGAATTATGGCCATGTTAGTGGCTATATTGAGCTATATTGTTTTTATTACTATGAATTTTCATTTATCTTCTGTGCCTATGGAATGACAGTGAAATTTCTCCAGCCCAGCAATCTCACTGTTATTGTTTATGCAGGTATCTGTCTGGAGCGTTGTGCTGCTAGCAGTGTTTGCTGTGCTGCGAGCTGGGGCGCTCCGTGCCGTTCAGGCTCTGCTCCGCTCCCCGAGCGCAGCCTGCTGTGCCTGCAGCCCCCCAGCACGCCTGCTTGCCGGGTTCCTGTCGCAGTGCTGCCCCAAAGAGCCAAGTAAGGAAAGAGGAGTTCCCTGGCCACTGAACCTAATGAGAGAGAGGGCCAATAGAAATAGAAAAATTGGTTGAGAGAAATATGATGTCTTTTGACAGACTAATTAGGTTCAAATGAAGGTCGCCGGGGAGTCTGCAGCAGCACTAAAGCTTGAATCCAAATCCACAAAGCAATCAGTCTGCACTAGCGCGTTACGAGGATGGTGGCAGTGCTCAGGGTCACTGCTCCGTGAAAGGCTGCCAGCTGCTCAGCAGGAGTGTCACCTGTCCCCCCTAGTCCCACTTACAGTTGTCTGGGCACATTTTTACTGAAAAAAAAAAAATCTTCCCGTGTTGCAAAGATGTAGGAAAACTTCTGTCAGGCTAGAGGACCAAAAGAAATGGTATTGAACGGTTTTTTCATCAATAAAATGAATTTTGTTTCAGGTGAGAACAGGACATTTTTCTTCAGAGAACTGTACCGAGAAAAATGAAATTTATTGTTGAAATATCAAATAGTAGCTCGTGGGCAAAATCATAGTTCTTATGAAGAAGGTTGAATTTCTACCAGCTTTTACATTCTAAAAAATCTGTTGCTCTTTCAATGGTATTTCACCTTTTCTGGAAGCTGATATTCTTTATATGCAGATATTTGTGAAATGAAAATTATTAGTTTCTCCTAAGTTTTCCAGTTTGGAGATGGGCTTTCTGCAAGGACCAGTAATTTCAAATGAAAACAACAAGTTCTTTGAAATGCTCTAACAGCTCAGGAAAAAAGTTCTTTCAAACAGTCCACACAAAGCTATTTGAAGAAATCAGTAGACAAAAGTTTTGTAGATTTTGAAAGTCATAAAAGTCACAAGCTTTTTTCTCTACTTTCAAAAGTCTCCTCAGGTACCTAGTAACGCGGGGCTTGGAGTGGATGACGCTCTGCTGACTTTTAGCACTGAGGATGTTAACTCAGTGCTGCTTTCAGACAGTTCCCGTGTCTATTTGCAAAGTGTATTTAGTTGTGTACCAAGAGTTCTGAAACAAACCAAAAATGTGTAGCCTACTTCTGACCCACAGAGAAGTTAAAACTACTTCCTAATCACTTTGGGGTGACTATCAGAAAAACTGTTTTGTGTGGTGCAGCACATCAGCTCCTAGGGAGGATGGGTGGATGGGCTTCTCCTTTCTAGGGCCAGGAATGTCAGTGGAGAACCAGAGCCATCCTATACAGGTGAAAATCTGCGTCGCCTGTCTGCCCCTGCAAAAGGTTGTTGCATATCCTCTCCACTGAGAGCTTTGGTTCCTGGAGGACCTCTGAGAGTGACAGGCCTTCTCAGAGGGGTGGGGGCAGCTGGGGCCCTGACAGCTTGCTGTGCTGCAACATCTGTGAGGCTAAAGAGGCAGCACTGTTCTCGGAGATCGTTAGGTGGTTATGCTAAATCTACTAAGAAAATACTTTAAAAAGTATATATTGCCCATTTCTTTCTCCTGTATGTAGTTATTCCAACCAAAGTTTCATACTGTTTCTGGGCAACTTGGGATGTGTTGCTGTTTGGGAGGGGTGCGGGTGGGCTGCCCTGTAGGGCACACCGGACAAGGCAGTGCCTTCACTGGCCAGATGCAGCCCCAGGGACCTGCGTGGGGCCAGCAGAGCTGGTGGGGAGAGAGCTGGGGTCAGCCAAGGCACCAAGTGCCAGGCAGGTCCTTTGGGAGGCGGCAGGTCTGAGGCTGAGCAAGTTGGGTCAGGGTCAGCGGGAGATAAAGCCAGGGGCAGCAAGGCTGTGATGTGGCTCAGGCGAGGAGCAAGGGCAAGCACCTGAGCCGCAGCACAGCTCCTGTGCTAGAGGGGAGGCGGGCCCACTTCTCAACCCTCTTCACAGCAGACTGACCTGAGATTACCCAGCTGCGCTGTATCACTTCTGGCCTCCAGCACAGGCAGCCAGACTCGTGGGCAGGCGCAGGTGTGTTCGGGGCCATGGCAGTCAGTAGAAGGTGATACATGGTGAATAATATGGCGCAGAAAGTTACTGGATGATGTCCCAGCCTCTTGAGCTCTTACAGGTCTCAGGCGCGTATCAGTTCATCTAGGTGGACAGCACGGGGGAACTCTGCCAAAAGCAGTGCTTTTCCATCTCTCTGCTCTCATTGCATCTGAAGCTAGGGCAGCTCCTAAAAGGAGGAGCTCTTCTGTGAGCACTATGTCTGTTTCGATTTGCTCGGGAAATGTGTTCATTTCCTCTGGCTTCTGCATACATGATTATATTCTGCAGATTAAAGGGCAAAGCTATAACATCCCCTAAGGGAGGGTTCTCAGTCATATAGTCATAGTGTTGGAGGTGAGATCATGTGGATGTGGTTACAGGGCCACTGGACCGCTGTTAGCCTGTTTCCTTAAAGACAATTATCGCACGAATATTACAGCACTTTTGACCGCATTGAGCTTACCCCTGTGACAGCCTGCACTTAATATTCTTCTTAATATTCTTGGAATTATATTTTGGGATGTTGCCATTCTCTGTCAGTATCCAGCCAAAGAACGAGATCTAGGACTATCATTTCGTTCCCAACTATCCCCAGTCGCTTGAGGTTTAATTCTGTGCTACCTCACACTTCATGACCATTAGTGGAATTGCGTTGTTGAACTGTTTTGTCAGGAAGCGGCAAAAGCAGGGCTCCTCCATGAGGGAGGACGAGCCGGCAGGCGAGGCTGACCATGGCACAGGTGGTGACAGCGACAGGTTCCCACTGCGGTACCCAGCAAGGTGAGGTAACAGTCAGGTCCAGGGCCCATGCAGGGACTCTAGCACATCTCCAGCTTCATTTTTAATGACCGTAATTACCATATGCGAGATGAAAAACAAAAGCTACCGACAAGCAGCCTCCAAAATAGATAGAGCATTCATTAGACACAAAAATAGCAAGAGTATGTTAGCGTCTCTGTGTCCTCCTTTGATGAGGAGGGCTCACCTAAAAATAACGAGAGGGCTCAATCCAGTTGCAGGCAACGGCAGAAGGAAACATTTGGCACTACAAAAGTGAAGGAAGCCATCATGTGGAACAGAAAGTCTATCCTTCCCCACCCTAAAACTCCCAAATTCTGAAAACTGTAAGCACAGCAGAAGATGATGCTGTTTGTAGAGATATCTACTTAAAAGGTAAGCTTAGCATTTGAATTTTCAAATACCTCCATTAGTAGTTTGAAATGTATTATTCCTATTAAATTTCCCACTTTAGACGCCCATATTCTAAAATGTACCTGGAAATGAGAAACACAGGGACTATGCATGCACTAGTAGAAAATATTATTTGAACTTCTAAATTAATATCCAAGAAAGTTATTTGGAGGAATATTTTACTCTGTGTCTGTTATAAACTGTTTCAAATTCAGCAGCTCTAGGGCACATCCAAAATAAAAACATAAACACTGGGGAGAAAAAAAACAAAAACAAAAAAGAAGAAACTGCTCAGAAATCCACCTCCCAAAAGATGAAAAGCTGTTACAAAGTTCTTTCTAGCCTGTCTGAAAATATTTCACATCATCATTCTTGATTCATCAGAAGTGCTGGCTGAAAATTTTCCGATAGAATCTTACTTAACCTTTTAGAAAATGCTGTTTCATCAAAACAGCATGTGCTGGCAATATGTCAATACAGACAAAATGTTCAGGGAAAAATATGTGAAAAATAGTATTTTTGTGAAAAAAAAGATGCACTATCTAATTTTAAATTTATGGATACTATACTAGAATTAAAATAGCCAAAAGCTAAAAATGATATTGAAATTATTTTATCAGTATGATGCTTTTGAGTAATCGAAATAGAGTTATATATTTTGGTTTGCAAACATATAAGTTCATTTATGATTTTAATGGAACTTTTAAAAATACATTTTTTAGTTCTGAATAAGAAAACTACATTTTAAATTTGGGGATTTTCTGAAGAGCAAATACTGACTTTCCAAAAGTCGTATTCTGCAGACACAAGGTTAAATTTTTGTAACACCTACTATTTTCTGTTCCTAAATGTTACCATTAAGATTATCTTCCTACACATTTTAATAAATTGCAAATTAATTTGTCTGTGAAAACAAAGTGATAGATTCTTCTATCTGTGGATTGAAATTGGCTAGTAATACAACAAAAACACAGGCTAATATTGCACATTTGTACTTGGCAATATTTACATTGTAAGCATGAATAACAGGATTTTTTTTCTCCTTTGAAAAGATTCAAAGACGACACTCATCTAATTAAAGAAAAAAAAAACCATTTAGTAGTCTTAGGCGAGAAGAGGACTAACCTAATCCAA